CCTCCCCTCTTTCTGTATACTCCCATTACACCTTCTTCTACTTTCCCCTCCCTTTCATTTCATTCTTTTACTGGCCTCCCCTCTTTCCTCTTCTAATTGCCTCATGCCTTATCACCTCCTCTTCCTTTTGTTTCCCTTCTTCCTTCATCTGTCACCCCTTTCCTTTCCTTTCCTCTCTTTCTCTCTTCTTTCATTCTTTCCATGTCCCACTCTCCTGGTAGGTCTGGAGGTATTTTACTGCAAAGCTGTCCGACTGTATTGGAGATAAACAGTGATTCACACACACAGTACACATTTAGATCTTTCTATTGTTCTCAATTTCTCAACCCTTGGCATACATACGTACATATACAAATACACAGTGTATTATCATCACTATGGTCTCCCATAAGTTTGAACCCTGCTAATCTTCAGTATTGGCACATTAGGGCACATTAGAATTCTTTCCAGAGAGATAAAGCGAGAGAGACAGCGAGCAGCACATCTGAGGAGAACAGGAAACAGGCCACTCCACCTTGATGTGAAAAGCCCAGTGGGGATCTGTCCACGTAACTAAAGGCGTTGGATCCATCCTCCTCCTCCACTTCAAAAGGATGTCGACTTCATTAAAGAGATGCGCCAGGAAACATGAGAAAGTACTACAAAGGGATGAGTGTTTGTCTTCATATCTGTAGGCGAGCTCGCACTCACAAACACACACAGACACATTCACGGGGAAGCCTCCACGTACTAACACACATTAACACGGTGGGTTATACATAATTATGCATGTGCATATAAATGAAAACACACAAATGTAAATGCTAGCACACGTACTGTTGAGGCTGAATGGGGACAGCACAGTGTGCTGAAGTAAAGACCAGGGGGAGAGGTAATTAGAGTCTCACATACTGTAGCCGCTACAATGTACAAACAAAGTGTGTGTCAGCAAGACTGTTGCACCAAAGTTTGGTGGGCAAATTGGACCTCTGAGAACAGCCAGAAAAATGACACACAAAACACAAACAAAAGATAGAGGTAGGAAAACAGGAAAAAAAAAGGACAGTTTGGATTTGGGTTGAAAGCTGGCCTGTCTTTGTGAATTTACTGTGTGTGTGTGTGTGTGTGTGTGTGTGTGTGTGTGTGTGTGTGTGTGTGTGTGTGGCGATTTTTATTATTTTTTTTAAAGGCCAGACTGTGTTGTAATGAGAGCTGTAAGTGTGCGTCTGTATATATATTGTATGTGTGTGTCCATGCGTGCAAGCTACTACGACCACGAAATCTGCACGTTTTGTCAATCTTGAGCCAAGGAATGGCAGGTTCTGACAAACACGCTTCCTGTGAGTTATATATTTATTATCTTCATTGGCACAGTAATTATTCAGCTGTGTACATCAATCTGTTCCTGTACTGATTAATTATTGTTTTAACACCATAAATAATATGCTTGGATGTGGTTCTAATTCAAATTCCTTAACAGCTGACAGACCAAATAGGACTGATAATAAGCTCATTAATGCTGCTTTGTAGATACAGTCGCCCACACAGCCTGGAAACACTGAAAATAGACACAAAGAAAAATAGGAGAGAGAAATGCATGTTGACTTAGACACACACAAGTACATTTACGCCAGTACTTAAATTAAATGTTGAGGCACTTGGAATTTGCTTGAGTATTTCCATTTTCTGCTATTTTATACATCAACCAGGTGGAAATATTGTGTTTTGTTACTCTACTATTCGTTTATCTTAAAGTTGGAATAACTGGTTACTTATTAGATTACAATTGTACACACACAATACCTGTATGGGTATGATCTAATAAATTAGGGCTTTCATTGTTGATTAATCTGATGATAATTTTCTTAAGTGATCAATCTTAAGAATCGTAATTTGATCCTTATTTCCTAGATTATAAAGTGACGTCTTCAAATGTCTTATTTTGTTGTTTTGTTCCAACTAGCAGTCCACAAGCCAATGTCAATTTACTACATTATCAGTATTTCTGCATGCATTTGGGTTTGTTGTCTTGTGTACATTTACATTTATTAATTTAGCTGATGCTTTTATCCAAAGCGACTTACACCCCAGGCATGTGTCTTATCCATTGCGCCATCACCACCACCCGTACACAACAAGAGACGAGCAGCAAATCCTCACATTGGAGAAGCAAATGTTTGGCATTTCTGCTTGAAAATTTGCATTGCAAAAAACTATCAACTGCATTTAAGAGTAACTCCAGCCACTGGACACTGAACTTCTGATTGCACATTAATACATCAGTCATAATAATCCAGTGACATATTAAGATACAAGAACACTGATGGTGGTCATTCTGTCTGCATAATGACTACTTTCCTTTTGAGACCTTCGATACATTTAGTAAGTTAAGTTGATTTTTAGTCTCTGCCAACTCCTGAGGAAAATATCTAGCTGTTTAAATGCTGCGCAGTGTTCACCAGCTAGTCACTAACTCTGTCTTTCTGCTGTTTGGTGCAAAGCAGCTGCCTGCTGTGGCCGAAAACGATGCTATAAGACCAGCGAGAGTGAACCAAAACAGTGAAGTTGTGGGCCGGACAGTAAGCTGAAACTTAGTATAAAGCTCTGTAGGTTCATCAGTACAGGCAACATATTTCACACTGTCATTTGATATATTGGTATTATATGCTTTAAGTAAACAGGAGTGATGCAGAACTTTGAATTTTAATTGAGACTTTTTTTGTTGTTATATTACTGAGTATGACTTGAGTATTTTTTCCACCACTGCATTTTACAAACACATACCACCCTTTGACAGCATTTATACATGTGGTTTACTCAATGAATCAATTAATTGCTGTGTTTATAAAATGTCTGAAAATCTCCACCACAATTCACAAAAATATTTAGTTATATTTAGTTTAGTTATTTATTTAGTTAGTATCATATGAGACAAAAAAAGCAGTAGCACATCCTCACACTGGAGAACCAGACCGTACTCTGTGATGTTATTTACAGAAACCCAACAGTTCCCACCAAGAGCAAGCACTAGGCGACAGAGGCAAGGAAAAACTTCTTTTTAACAGGCAGCGGCCAAAGGGGCAGCTAAACACTTCATGAGGTAGTTAATATCCTGTTCTAGAAAACTACAGGTGAATCAAGTTTCCTCAGTGCTAGCTTGCGCTCCAGTTGCCTGCCAACACCTCTTCACTGAAGCCAAATTCAAAATACATGTATTTAAGATCAGATGCATGGAAGAATTATCTCTATCAGCTTTCCTTGTTATGAGCCTCACAAAGAATAACACGTATGCTACCATGTCAATCATTATCATCACTGTGCAACCTGATGCAAACAATGAGAGTGGAAATTAAAAATGTGCTTGGGTGCTCCTCTCTGTCGGAGAAGAAAAAGCAGCATCAGAATAATTGTTTGGTAAGAGTCTTAGTCACACATGAACCTCCTTTAAACAGAAGGCAGATGAACTGTTTTCACTGAAGGAGGCTTGATTAGGCATCACCCTCAGTGATTAGACATTTGCTGTTTAAATGTTTCCCACTGTGGATTCACTGGCACATGCAAAACATTCCCCCCATCTTTATGCCGAGCGGTGAATATTACCATGATAAAACTGATAGCTCATTCTGGCTGCTGCTGGGATAAAAAAAAAAAAATCCAAGACAGAGAACAAATATGAACCAATAAAGTGGCTGACATTTAAATTAATTTTTGACATGTTGTTTGTGCACTTCTTTCTTTTGCTACTTGCTAACGTGTTTGCTTAATGTCTTTGTGTCTGGATGGAGCCTTCAGTCAAAATGAATTGTGGAAACTCACAGCTTAAAAACAGTCTGCGGGAACAGTAGCCTGAAGGCATTTTGAGGACTGTTTAGGCTCATGCTGTGCGGCATATCTACACACACACACACACACACACACATACTTGTTTTGCTATACTTGTGAGGTCCATGACCCTATAGCATGTTGTGAGGACCCCCCTTTCTGCTGACAGTAGGATAATGAAAAAAATAGTTTGAACACTAGATGGGGCTACAAAACCAGAAAATAACTTCAAATGTTTACACACACGATGGTCACACAACTGGTGAATTTGGTCGGTGTTGTGAGGACCGAACGGTTGCTAGGCAGATTTAAGATCACATAATCTGCTTTTTAAGGTGCTGACCTTATTAGACCAAAGAAAATTACTATATGTAACTCACTGAAGCTTATTAAACCCTTATTATGTGGTTATATTATTCCTTGTATATTTATGAACTTTATATTTTTTCATTAACGTGTGTCTTAAGCTGCTGATGTAGCTATCTACCTCATCTGATCATTTAAAAAAAAAATCTTAGTTATATCTTAGCAATGATCACCAGTGTGTAACAAATAATTTTAAATACTTATTTTATGATTTGATACACTCATAGCTCATATTCATAACTCGCATACGTTATGGCACACAATAAGTATAGCTGACCCAGAAACTATTGTCCATGTATTTGTCACGTCTCGCTTCGATTACTGTAATGCTCTGTAGGCTACTTGGGTCTGATCTTGATCTGGCATTGTTAGTATTGCACACATACTAGACCCTTTTAACATGTATGGTTTAGTTTGACTCAAACAAATTAACCTTATAATTTTAAATATTTTTCAAATCAAAAGGAAAGTGACTAAGAATATTATGATTTAAAAATTATTTATATTGATGACTGATGCCACAGACAAGGTAAATTTAAGTCTTTTATAATTATAGCAGTTGAGTGAACTAAGCCTTTATTCAATTTTATTTATATAGCGGCAAATCACAACAACAGTTATCTCACAGCGCTTTTCATAAAAGAGCAGGTCTAGACCATATTCTATGATGCTATTTACAGAAGCCCAACAGTTCCCACCAAGAGCAAGCACCAGGCGACAGAGGCAAGGAAAAACTTCCTTTTAAGATTGGGTCATATAGTAAATCATCCATCGGGACTTTCACCGCAGCTAAAATGAAAGCTCTGACCTCCATCACAACACAAACTCCAAACTAATAAATCAGCAGATTATTTATTCTGCAAAAGCAAATATTGCGCTTTACAAAAGAGCATTCTAACAAGCAGGGTAAGAAATTATTAACTCTAACAGAGCACCCACACATTGTACATCAAATGCAAGGATTTTAAAATCCTTTTCAGGCCTCATTTAGTACTGCTGAATTTCAGCTTCAACAACACAAGTCAGGAGACATACTTGAGCCAATATTGTTACTATGACAAAGAGAAATAACAAATTTGGATGTTATATTTTGTCAATCCACAAACCTAAGGATTGTTGAGGCCTACTGAAATCCTTACTAAACCTACTACTGAAATGAACTGAGTAATGAACATGTCACTTTGGCCAAACTCCACTGAATAATGAACTGCTCACATCTGTATACATCTGTATATAACCTGAACTTGAAAACTTAAAACCTGTAAGTTAATGGAGTGATACCTTCTTTTTTCTAATTTCAATGGTATTATGTACATGATTCTTGATATCTCTCCAATGTCTACTCTGAAGTGCTGGTTCTGCATCTATGCACTCTATGCACTTGTCCTTACGAGGAACTTTCATCAAAATCATGCAATTTCCAAGTTGCCGCCAAACTGCCTTTTTTTCCACATCACTCCAGGGCCTTCTTTGAGTTTTCTTCTGCACAGTAGAACCTAAAAAAACAATAAACATAAAGACACATTATTCCACCAAAATCAAGAAATCATAGAATGAACTAAGACTGTAAGCAATCATTAGCAGGCCTGCCTGTATGTAAATAGGTATAGTTATTAAGTAACTGACTAGTTCAACTGAGTAAGTCAGTCAGTAGGCAGGTAGAAGTAAGTAAGTAAGTGTGATTTTGTTTAAGGTCAATAAAATCACTATGTATGCATGTTGTCTTCACTGTTCTTGTGCATTCCATTATTTTATATGTGTAATGGACCACTTAAATTGAAGAAAAAGGTAAAAATGTAGTATTAATAAACTAGTAGCACTCACAGTAGTATCAGTGGAGGCAGTAGTAGTAATTTTAGCATCTGCAGCAGTAATAGTAGTAGCTTTTGCAGATGTAGTAGGAATAGGTGTAGTAGCGCTGAAAATAGTTGGACTATTTTAAGTGGCAATAGTCTCTCTAGTAGTTGCAGCAGTAGTGACAATAACAGTAGTTGTAGTACTATTCAATATTGTAGTTCTTGTAGTGGAATTTAAAGTAGTTAACCCTGTAACAAGCACCCTCAATCCCTCCCTCACATAAGCTTAGGCTCTTCTGAAAGCTTAGACAAAATGGCCAACATCAATGTAAATAGTTTTTTCCCTTTCAAACTAGATATCAGATGACCCGTTAGGCTGAAATATCACTTTTTAAACAATGTTTGAAAGGCAGTTCAAAAAGTACATGAACGCACCTGGGGTGCTGAGGGTGCAGTAGGTGGTTCTATATTGGCAAACAAGTCAGTTTTGGATGACCTCTTGACTTTAGTCTTTGTGTGTGTGCCAGGTCCCTCTAGGTGAAGAGAAGAGACAGCCCATGACACATACACAAACTTAGTCATAACCTACTGTACACTTCATGCCAAGAAGTCTAAGCTATACATGATCACACTACATACCATCTGAGCCTCGGTCCGCATCAGATGGCATATCTGGATCAAGTCTCCGCTTCTGACTTCTGGATAGCTCTGTAACAGAGGGAAATGAACATCAGGCATAATGAACTACATCTATATTGGTCAGTGGAAAAGGTGATTGATTATCACAGCAAACACTACTAACTTCTTGAACAAACTTGTAACACTATAGCATTCATGTTATACATCCTGGTCACTTAAAAATACTACTGTAGCAACCACAAGAAACCCTGGCAAACATGTGCACTTATACGTCTTGTTACCCATTAACTGCTTTGCTTTGACACCGCTCACTCTGTTGCCGACATACACTTGATCTGCTCCAGTTCCACACTCACATCTCAAGAAATTATCTATCTTTTTTATATACTTTTTTTTTAATATTATTCTGTTTATATTTTTTAGAATTTTTTATTTTGTGTATACTTTTAACTGCTACACAGAACAACACTTTCTCTGATTACCTACTTGCCAATAAATCTGATTCTGATGTTCCATTCAAGTATACATTTAATAGAACTAGAATTCATACCAGGTCAAACATAAGCCTTGTCACAATAAGCCACCCCGCTGTGCATCAGAACTTAAACATGCCATGTCTAGGCAAACCTACAATATTACAAATGAAATAGGTAAATAATAGTTGACAATAATACTGGTAATAAGAACTTCTGGACGTCGGGCCAGTAAAAACTGTCTTCGGGCCAATATGTTTCAGGCCTATTGTGACAAAACATTTTAACTTGAACCCTGATATCTACTATAATTACTTGCATACCATCTTGTTATTGCCTTGTAGATGCCTCCACCAGGATACGCTCTGAAGTGTTCCCTTGGTTGGGTTCGTTAGACAAAGCAACTGTAATGACAAAAAAGAAGAGAAACATTTTATACAGCATAAGTCAAATGTTCTGTCCAGATTCCCTTACAATGTTTTTTGATATAGCTTTCCAAAATGTAAAAAAAGTGTGTGTGATTGTACAATACTCACGCTCTAATTCAAAGTCAATCTCATCGAGAGATTTTCCTTTATAGACAGCAGTTCCACATTCTATCGCCATATGCACTCCACTGCCCCCCACCCCCACCAAAGAGTGATGACGCAAATGTGCTTTGATTATTGACTGTTAATTACTATTGCAGCTTTAAAGCTCAAAAAATAATATTCAGGCCAGCCCTACAGTAAATGTGGTTCCATCAAGTTACCAGATATAAAGGTTTAATGTCACACCCTCAAATTGTTAGAATAAAGTAATTTGATACATATCAGCTCATTTTCTTGGTCTCTCTTTCTTTCCATTACCTGTGAAACAAACAATTATCTTTAAGCAAGATCACCACAATGAAAGTCATCAATTAATTTAGATTAAATAAATAAATATATTTATTTTAAATGTCAGTGTTAGGGTTCTATAACTAATAGCCCTAACACTGACAGCCACAGAATTACATAAAATATTGCTAGTATCACTTACATAATTAATGTTATTTTTGTACATTTGTTTCATCCTGGATATTTTGTCTAATTGCTCCTACATAAGCCTAAAAGAGAAGTGAAGATGCTAAAATCTCAGTTAAACTGGATATCTAATTACAATTATTATTTGTCAGATGACTCAATAATGGTAATCTTTTGTTGCAGCTCTAACATGATTAATGTTAGTATTCTTGAATACATTCTGAATTGTTTTGTCTGTATGGTGACAGAAATCTGCTAAAAAGTTTAATTGTCCTGTGTTGTGTGACCAACAGTGCAAAACATAAAAACAATCTGTTTATGATGTGAAAACAGAAAGAAATATAAAATCCACAAACTGGAAACGCCAGAATCTGCTAACCTTAGGCATTTATGCTTGGAAAATAATTACAACAATTAATTGATAATTAATATAGTTGGCAAATCATTCGACCCACCTACCAAAAACTATTTTCCATTCTGTTCTTCTCTTATTTTTATTCAAGTAACGTTTACTTTAGTTAAGTACATTTTTTAAAGGCCTAGTTAATAACGTACTTCTTTTTCTGCTTTATTTAACTCATCAAATCAAGTAATTTTCCGTCTGCACCCTGTAGTTAAACTAATGCTAATGTTAGCAAAACAGTTAGAATGGAGAATGATACTGAAGCTAGACTCCAAAAACAGCTCAGCCTAATTTAAATAAAAATAAAAATGTCTTACCTGGGTTAATAATCTGTTGTTTTCCTGCTGTTTTTCGTATGTTAATATCTCCGTGCTCCCCTAGTCTCTGCAGCCTCCGTAAGACATGCACAGACCTGTTTGTGACGATGCATTCAAGTCCACAGGGAGAGTGCAAAATCGTAGTTCTATATGTTGTAGGGAAATTTTACAAAATGTTTTAACTCAAAATAGAGTCCAAAAGGAAAACAAAACAGAGTTTTGGGGAGAAGTAGCTAAAATAGTTACTACAACATAACATAGCTTCAGCAGTTCTCCATTTTAATATAACATTCTGTATCTTCAGTCAGGGACAGTGAAGCTTCAAATTCCCATGTCCCTTGAATGCCGCATTAGCAGAAAAAAAGTTTGCTGCCCAGGTGCTTAATTGATCTCCCCTGCCCCACTCTGTGTGGCCTCATGCCAGCTTCTCCTCAGAAACAGATTCAGTTTGAGTAGAATCCCAACACACCTTTACACTATTTATTTTTTACTGGGGTTATTACTGTTTTACATTCGATTTTAAATCAGTATGTTACATTATTTGTGCAAAATCATTTTAAACATGAATGCATGTAAATTAAATTTATTTAATATTGGAGAGATTTTGATGCAGTGGTTTTGATATTTTGATATAACTTCATTGCTGGACTATCACACATCAGAAAACAAGACCTGAGATTCAAGTTCATTTGAAGAGAGTTTTATGCTGTGGATTAGGTGCTTAGTTGTTCTCCCCCTCCCCCACCCGACATGTGCTCCTCAGCTCCCCTGGCTGTGACACACAGGCAGCAGAGCCTGGATTCAGTTTGAGCAATATCCCAACACACCTTTTACAGGATTTTATATATAACATGTGCCCTTCATCGCAACAGTATTCCCTCATGGCAACAGCCTTTTAACAGCAGGATAATGCCTCCATTCATTCTTTTATTTCAGATATGACTTATTTATTTATAAATTATCTGCAATTTACACAATTTAGCCAACCTGCACATGCACACTCACACACTGACTGAACATTGTGCGATGTGTGTGCATGCGACGAGTCGTGTGTGATGACAGGGATCATACCATCAAGATAAAAGCAGACGGGAGGGCTTATTGTCTAACAGGTCTACAAAGTCTGGATGTCATATTTGGTGTGCGCACGGTGGCACTGCTGGAGAAAGTGAGATTGTTGTGTGGATTCTTGTATGTAACTTGCTTTGTCATTGCTGCTGCTGGACAAGTTGATAATTACCTGCAGGCCAAAAAAGCCCTCAGGCCATAGGGAAAATCTCCTGTGCACTAGTCCGCTAGTTTAATCTCCACAACGTCTTCGTGTTCAGTGTTGTCGGTCAAGACAATGGACCAATGAGCAAGCACTATATAGGCCTACAGGTATAGTAGGCCTACTCATGGAAGTTGTAGTGTCGTAGTGTCACATTGCAATTCGTTTGTTATTTCAGATGACTGTTGACAAGACTACAATTTTTCAACACGCCAAAGTGGCAAGTAGGAGTGACTGCGTTACCCACCACGGCTGAAATCCACCCGCATTTGGCGGGTTGGCGGGTGTTAATATCAAGCCCTGGGTCAGAGAAAAAGCTCCAAGATATGTCTAAGGTTTGTCTTAGGCTATGTTCACAATTCAGGCCTTAATGGTCAATTCCAATTTTTTTCCCAGACCTCATTTTTCTGTTTGAGAGTTCATATTCTACTTTAAATGTGGCCAAAATCAGACTTAAGTGTGAACACATGCACAGAAGAATTAAACGTCACAAGCAGCATGCTATCATACAGAAGTAAACCAAGGAGCCAGTTAGCTCATACTTGCTAAACCTCCCGTATTTCATTACACTCTCCTGGTTTCCTCCTGAGGTCACATTCCCCCGAACTAAACAAATATTAACAACTTTTCATTACATTCATTACTATTCTGGCGCTGTACAACACATATAACCCACAACTGTCCCCCTCTATCTCTGTCCACTGTGTCCGTTCAGATAGGCAGCGTTCAGGTGACTCAGAAGATAGCTTGGGACCAGGTGGATTTCAGGGGGAAGAAAGGGAGTTTGTGAGCAGATGATGGCAAGATAGAGGAGAAAGAGAGCCACATGTTTAATAATGGCTTTTGTGGAACTTTTTTGTTCACCACAGCCCGTCTACCTCATAATTACCGCATAACTAACTCTGATGCCTCTAGAGTGGCATCAGAGTCGCATAGATTTCAATCTGAGTGTCCAGATCGAGGTCGCATTTCAAAAAATCCGACCTGTGTTGGATTTGGACCACATCCGAACCAGAAAAGAGTCCACGTGACTAAAAAATCTGATTTGGGTAACTTTTGCCTGTAGTCTGAATGCCGCCTTAGTTACCCCACTTGGAAAAGTACTTTCCTCTAGTCAAATGTTGAGGTACTTCCACTTTTTTACTCCCCTACATTTAAAATCCTGTGTTGTATTTATTTCTCTTTACCTGATCAATGTAGTGAAGTTACTGAGAAGAAGAAATATAAATATTTTGTCATTGAAATAAATGCACATTTCAAACAACTGATGTTTAGAGATTAATTCATTAAGGACTGAATGCACGCAGAAACAAGTACACTATGGAATACTTTTACTATCTTGATTCGAATTTTGACAAAATTTTTGGTAAATATGGGATTTCTACATATCTTAAGTAAAGGAACATTGTTCTATATTTAACGACAACCACATCGCTTATGTATAGCTGGATGGTCTAGTGGCAGAGTTGGTACCTGAAGAACAGAAGGTTCTGTGTTCAAATCCTCTACAGGGCAACTTTTTTTATTCTCCTTAGGAGTAAAAATTTGTCATTAATGCAGGGATATCAATCACATAGAAGGCCAAAATTTGGGACTATGTCAAAGGCCAAACAGGGTCGACATTTATTAAGCAGGATACAAAAGGGAAACCTATTTAAGTTGGCTACATTCTTTTATGAATATGTGCTACAGTCAGATGTTTGGCACCTTTTCTTGAATGCCAGTTAATCAATGTTTGAGGTTAGGTTCTGTACTGTGGAAACCCTTGAGATGGAGTGAAGGTGTGCATCAATGAGATGACTCCTTTGTGGGGGTTTGTTCATCTTCATCACAGAGAAAAGCTGCTCACACAGGTATATGCTTTAAAACAATCAGCATTTGAGTAGCATGTAGGCTGAGTTAAGAGAACCGTTATAGGGATGACACTTGGAAAATGTGCAGTACCCGCAGAGTCATACTTTGCATTGAGTGTGTCAATACACTGAAGGTCTATCATCTCATTTTGGAGGTTCATAGGTGCTCTTTCCATGTCAACTGCAACCGGATTGCTGAGCAGTTCAAATTTAAATTTCTGAGCTGCAAAGTTGGCAAATCTCAGAGTGAACTCTGGGCCAAGCGCGCTAGGTAACACAGCAGTAGATACGTGGTTTGTCAACACGGAGCGTGACCAAAGGTTCCTTGCTGCATCTGAGTGTCTTGCAGGCACCGCTTGACTTGGAAAGCTCTCAGTGCATCATATATGTCAGTGATCACACGTCTCATCCCTGAATCTGGAGGTTTAGCACAGTGAGATGCTTTGTTATGTAGCACAAAAAGGACAACCCAATTAGGCAGACTTCCTCCTCCTTAGTATCACATCTCTCTGTGATAGGGCACAGTGCCATGCTCAGCATCTACTTCCTCAAGGAAAG